GCGATACTCAATCAAGTGCGGATCTCCGTATTCAAGTTATTTGCGGTCTGCAATACTCAATCAAGTGCGGATTCCCCGGATTCCCATTGTTCTTTGCTGTCTGCGATACTCAACAACCAACCTTATTATCTCCAAGTCAATCCATATCAAGTTATCACAAACCAATCTCTCTGAAGGGTGTAGTGCCAAGCCAATATGTCTACTGACCAGCCAGCGATGGCAGGAGGAGAGCATCTTCATCACGGAAGTGAGGTATGTCACCATAAGGGGAGGAACGGAAGTGATGAGGTGCTTGATCCAATGGAAGACTTCATTCAATGTGAGGAGATTGGTGATGATAGTTTAGTTCGAGTGTTTGCTTCAAAATAGCAAAGGGAAACAGGGCTCCTGCGCTTGCTCCTGTGCTCGGTCTTTTCATTCACCAAACGAAAGAGATCGAAACTAGTACGGGGGGGGGTTCGGGGCTCCCGCGCTTGCTCTTGTCCTGGGGACCACATGGCAGGCACACCCCGGATCCGTTCGTTCGGTTGTTCGTTCGCACCGGCCGCCCAAAACACAGCACGAATTCATTCGTAAACAGTGGCGCGGTTCGTTTCCCGGTGCGACGTGTTGCGACGCGCAACCCACGGATCTTGCCTTTGTTCTCGCCTGCCCTGGTTCAGTCGCCTGTGTGGTTACCGTGTCGGTGTATGGTGCGGGCTGTCCTCCGCTGCGGTTCGGTTCGATTCCCTTCGTTTCTGCTCCGTTTTGTTTTCACGTTGCTCTGCACTCGCTTTTACTCGCGATTCCACTCAATCTGAACTAAAACTGCAGTCCTTTATCAACTATCGATACCCTCGACCGATCCATTGTTGCTGGAAGACCAATCCATCCGGCCGTGCGGATACATCCTCCTGCGGTGCGTGTGTACGTCGCACTCCTTTCCCCTCGGCGTGGATCTCGGCACGGCACGGAATTTCGCCTTTTCACTCCGGTACCAACTCCGTTTGTGGTGCTCTTAAGGGCGTGCGATGAGGCACACAAAAAGGACACGGGTTCCATGGCTGCGAGCAAAGCGGGCATCCGGTCGTGATCGCGAGGCAACGACCAGGCCCCACACAGTTTCCAGAAACCAGTCTTGCAGTGACTCGTACCCGTAGCATAATAGCACTCGTATCGTGCCATATTCGGTCCTCGTAGCAGACGTACCCGAACTTTGTCAACTGCGAGAGACAACAGTGCTGAGCATATGAATGCGCCAAACAAAGGAGTACGAGGAACAAACCTTGTGCCGGACTTCAGTTTTCTTACGAAGAAAAACCCGAGTGCTGTTGGATCCTACAGTAATCCTACCGGTACGGTCATACGAGGTACAACTACTCGTGTAGGTACGTTTTACGAACAACGAAGTTCAATCCATTGAAGAACGTATCTTTGTATGTTTTTCGGAAATCAACCAATGGGAGTACAGTAAGAGATAAAGGAAGAGCGAGCACATCACGCATGCCGCTTGCTAGTGTCAGATTTAAAACAGCATGATACGAAAGAGAAACATCATGATCATTATGAAAGAGAAATACATCGATATAAAGCCCTCTTTCCAAGAGAGACTTACGGTTTCTTACAGTAAGAAAAAAAAAAATTGAGGTATTGTTTTTAAAAAATTCGGTACTGTAAGTGTTCGTTAAGTACCATGTCACAACTGACAAAGAAGAACCAATTGACAAAACTTTATTATTGGTAGTATTTTCGTAATTAAACAACCCCAACCCAAGAACTCAATTTTGTCAATGACTGCCTGCCATGCACTTCGAAAAAATAATGTCACCCGAGCTGTACCGTATTTGTAAAACATCGGAACACAACGCAAGCCAGATCCGACGCTCGACAACCAAGACAAAACTTTACTATTGGTAGTACGATACTTGTTCAATAAAAGATCGCAACCCAAGAACTCAATCTTTGTCAATGACTGCATGCCATGCATTTCGAAAAAAATGATATCACCTAAGCTGTACCGTATTTGTAAAACATCGGAACACAACGCAAGCCAGATCCGACGCTCGACAACCGAGACAAAACTTTACTATTGGTAGTACGATACTTGTTCAATAAAAGATCGCAACCCAAGAACTCAATGACTGCATGCCATGCATTTCGAAAAAATGATATCACCTGAGCTGTATGTATCAAAGATCGGAACATCGAAAAATGATATCACGTGAGCTGTATGCGTCAAAGATCAGAACACAACGCGAGGCAGATCCAACGCTCGACAACCTAGCTCTCGGATCGCTTGCTCTTTCTGCCCATTTGACTTCTCACAAATACAAACGGTACTCGATACTCGAAGCACCCTAGAATTTTGATACAGATTAAGTTCGGCGTTTACGGTAGGTTTGTTTTCTTTCCGTATTGTTTGAGTCTAGAGCAGCGCCGTTAGAACAGGAGCTGCGTACGGGATTGCGAGCCAGCAACCAGCAGTTGCACACAGCGAAATCATTTGTTTCGAACTGTTCGTTGTTGCAGCTCTCCACCTCCCCCCCATCAAAGAACAACCCATCCATTGATAACTGTTTGTCTTCGGATGATCACAACCCACATGCTTCTCCTCCCAAATCTAATTCATCTCGTTGCTTGTTGCTCTATCCTGTTTCGATCATCGGTCGGAAACGCAATCTTCGATCCTTCATGGCCAACCACCGACACCAATATCCACCACTACCACTACCGCGACAAAAATCGAACACCTGCAAACGCGCCCTGTGACACACGAAACAATACAAACACCAGCATTGACACCAGGATGAAGAACAGCTCCCGCACCATCGAAAATGATCCCGAGGCGAAGTACGTTTGGGATTCTTTGCCGTTGGAAGAACCGGACGTGGATCCCGAACAGCCGATGAGCGATGCCCTTTCGGATCCCGAACAGCCGATGACGGGCGATGCCTTTTCGTTGCAAGAAGCGGATGACAATCCGAAGGGCAACGAGGAAACCGAATCCAAAAGCGTGGGTGGCAATGGAGCATCCCTGGGCCACCACGGGGCTGGGGACGAAGAACAAAACATGCCCGCCGATATCATCGTGGATGATCCTTTGTCACAGAAAGGCGAGGAAGAAAACCATCCCACGGATGCATCCGACGAAACCAAGGAGAGCAAGGCGAACGATGGGGAAACCGACAACGAATCCAAAACTCACGAAGAGACGGAGTCAGAAAGTGCGTTTTCTGGAAACAATTTGACCGAGTGCAACGATACGTATCCAAGAGACTGTTACTCTTTCATGTCACTTCATGGTCCTGATCGCAATCCCATCTTCTTTAGCTATGGGATGGTGGTCTTCGTGTTCCAGATGTCATTGCTTGTGCTCATGGTGATCAGTGCCCTCGATACCAAATGGAGCAACAAGTTGGATTCAGATAATCCAGACAATAGTGCCATTGGAATGATCATTCCTGCAAATGCGAGTCCTTATGTCAAGGCAACACAAATTATTTCAATTTTGTGCTACGTATCATTTGCAAAGTTCAGTGTGATGGATGTCGTTAATGCAGTCCAGACTTTTCCGGTGGGGCAAGGCGCAACTAAATTTATGGTGTTCTCTTGTTTTGCTCGTGGGTTGCAAGGATTCATTGCAATGCTAGCGACACTCCTGCTTATTCTAATCTCAGACAGCGTGATTGACATTGTCCTAAATTTTACAGCAGTTGTGAGTGCACTGAAAACATGTTGAAAGCTCGAGACAATGATTCAGTCACTTTTGTCCTTACCGCTTTGATTTCATTCTTTCTTTCCTCTTCACAGAACTTCATCAGTGAATTGGACAATGTTGCGTTTGATTTGGCCCGGAAGGGGAAATATGGACGAAGACTTGAAGATGAAGCAAAGCGCATTGAAACACTGGTTCTTCCGCCTTGTATGTCTCGATGCGACAAGATGAAAAGATTCCTCTTTGCAGTAGGAGTATCCGGTGTTATCCTTCTTTCAATGGCAGGTGCCGTTATACATGCTCAAGACAGTAAGAAAACATGGTTGACGCAAACATTTCGAGTGGACTTCCGAGATGAAAAGCTACAAGATTACAGTGGATGCTATGAATTGGAGGAAAGAGCGACCATATCAAACAATGGATACAACAGAAATATCTACCAGAAGGTTCAGAAGGATAGTTTGGACATTTTTCATMAGTTTGGATACTGCATAGAGGAWCGTCGTTGGATCCTATTCATTGTMGAGAAASACGTAGCGGGTGATGTWACATATGATCCTTGTRCTKYYGAAAGGATTGCGTATTCGACGAGGATGCAAGCTTTTGACATATCCACCGCTTTTTCGGCAGGATGGTTCTCTGCAGTAGGCACTCCTCTYRATCTATATWTTCTCCAAGATRAAGACSATATGAAGGGCATGCTGTGCGAGGCGTGGAACAACGGTATTTGTAATGACGAGTTGAATCATGAAAAAAATGGATATCGGTTTGACGGTGGCGACTGTTGCTCTGCTACGTGTTCACATTCCAATTGTGGAATCAATGCAATCCCAGACCCATTTGGTGGAATGGGAAATGCTACTGGACATGGATTTCCGAATTGTCAGGATCCAGACATGGTTCCAATCACCATTCGCCTTGATAAGTTCAGACATAGGAAGGGTGCAGAACCAGATGAATATACTGTCGCTCCTACCTTGAAGTTTCAGTGTGAGAACAAAAGTGTTTTAATTGTTGATTTGAATCCAGAGATGATCAATATGAATGAAATTGTTCACGTCAGTGATGGAGCAACGTGTACCATTGAAATTGAAAACAAGACCCAACATTATGATCAATCAATCTGGTATGTTGATTTGGCAATTTTTCAAGGGCACGGTAACAATATGGATACAAAAATTGCTGAGATGAGCAGTTTTGAGGAGAGCTCATTCACTTTCTTGACAATTCCAAACTGCACAATTCAAAAGCTTTCTGATTATTACACAATTTCCGACATACACAATAATACAGATAACTCGTTGGAAACAACCAAATGGATGAATGACGACAAATCTGGAAATTCAAATTGCCACGATGAATTTTTTGCTGAAAGATTAGCATTGAAAATGCTCGAGGATAGATATATAACTTTTGCACAATCAAGTCCACATTGTCTCTGGAATGGAATTGAGTGCTCGCAAGAAGGAGCCCTGGAAAAGATCGATTTATGTGAGTTATTTCAGTGTACAATATTTCACCAGCATGTTGTGACTTCAATGATGCATTTTTTTTGTTTCCTGAACACTCACCTTCGTTTGCCTCAAAAATGCAACTGCAGACACCACAGAGAAGATTCCTCTTCAAGTTGGTGCTCTGAAGAGCTTGAAAATTCTGGATTTCTGTGAGTAATTAGTGTGCCCAGTGTTTCACCTGCATGGAAGATTGTTCCTTCTTTTGACGTCTTTTGCTTTCTTCGGACTCAACAGCCTTTGGCTCCGTTATGCATCTGTAGCTGCCTCAGATATAACAGAAATTCCATCTCAGATAGGTGATCTCGCCTCCCTGAAATCTCTTGATTTATGTGAGTAATTGGACTGAGGGTAATTGGAGTAAGCCTGGTTCATCTACAACCGAGACTGTTAAATTTGTACTTTCCCTTGCATCTTTGGTCTTCTTCACACTCAACTGTGTTTGCCTCCATTATGCAACTGAAGCTGACACGGATATGAAAGAACTCCCCACTGAGATAGGTCATCTTACGTTACTGGAAAAGCTAGATTTATGTGAGTTATTGGAGTGAGGCTGGTTTCATCTACAACAGAGAATGTTAAATTTTTACTGAACCGTGCATCTTTGGTTTTCTTCACACTCAACTGCCTCTGCCTCCAATATGCAAATGAAGCTGGCACGGATATTACAAAGCTTCACACTGAGATAGGTCGTCTTACCTCACTGAAAACGCTAGATTTATGTGAGTTATTGGAGTGAGGCTGGTTTCATCTACAACAGAGACTGTTAAATTTGTACTTAACCGTGCATCTTTTTTTTTCTTCTCACGCAACTGCCTCTGCCTCCATTATGCAACTTTAGATCACACTGGAATTACAGTGCTTCCCACTGAGATAGGTCATCTTACCTCTCTGAAAAAGCTAGATTTATGTGAGTTATTGGAGTGAGCCTGTTTTCATCTACAACAGAGACTGTCAAATTTGTACTTTCCCGTGCATTCTTGGTTTTCTTCACACTCAACTGTGTTTGCCTCCATTATGCAACTGAAGCTGGCATGAATATTACAGAGCTTCCGACTGCGATAGGTCATCTTACATCCGTAATATCTCTTAAATTATGTGAGTTATTTGAGTGAGCCTGGTTTCATCTACAACAGAGACTGTTACATTTGTACTTTCCCGTGCATCTTTGGTTTTCTTCACACTCAACTGTGTTTCTCTCCATTATTCAACTTTAGATCAATCAGGAATTATAAAGCTTCCTACTGAGATAGGTCATCTAACCTCACTGCAAAAGCTAGATTTATGTGAGTTATTAGAGTGAGGCTGGTTTCATCTACAACAGAGACAGTTAAATTTGTACTTTCCCGTGCATTTTTGGTTTTCTTCACACTCAACTACCGTTACCGCCATTCTGCAACTGTAGCTGACACGGATATTGCAGAGCTTCCAACTGAGATAGATCATCTTACGTCTCTGAAATCTCTTGATTTATGTGAGTTATTTGAGTGAGCCTGGTTTCATCTACAACAGAGACTGTTACATTTGTACTTTCCCGTGCATCTTTGGTTTTCTTCACTCTCAACTGTGTTTCTCTCCATTATGCAACTGAAGCTGGCACGGATATTACAGAGCTTCCCACTGAGATAGATCATCTTACATCCCTAATATCTCTTAAATTTAGTGAGTTATTGGAGTGGGGCTGGTTTCATCTACAACAGAGACTGTTAAATTTGTGATTTCCTGAGCATCTTTTGTATTCTTCACACTCAACTGCTTCTGCCTCCATTATGCAACTTTAGATCAATCAGGAATTACAGAGC